TGACTTGACCTTATGATTTTTCTCTTTAGCTCCTTCCTGACTAGACAATAAAGTGCATACCCCCTTAGAATGGTGTAAGATATATTTAAACATATTCCTTACTTGTCTGCCAAGTTCCCCACCTTTCTGAGATATGTCCTGATTATTTAATCGAGTTCGATATTCCACTATTCACAGCTGAAAAGCTTTTCCATAACTCACTCAACTTTGTATGCCAATAGTTATCCCAAGGTTTGACCATGCAGTTGGTGAACAGATGGCCAGAGACACGGATGATCTTCACAGCATAGTTTTAAAACATAGCCAGTCAGTGATATTTTAAAAAAACTTTTAGAAATGTTACCTTTTAAAAAATTGAAATATGTAGGGCTGTTTGTGTGTCTGGTTACTCTCAAGAAAATGGAAGTTACAAGGGGTGATCAAAATATACGGTGAATATTTAAATACAAATATTACAATAAAAGACACATTGCCATGAATCTGCCTCACAAAACTTCTCCTGACCTCAAGCTTCAAAAACACTCCTCCCATCATTCTTGACACTTTCTGGAGCAGTTCTCAGGTTCGACTTTGTGTCCTCTTGATAACGCGATCAAATATGTGGTGAATACTGCCGTGATGTGCCATGTAAGGGAAAGGCAGGCTTGTAAACACACGAGTGTGTGTCCTTGTCCACCTGAGTCAGCAGATCTCGGTTATATGACTCCTGCCTTTTCCCCAAAATCAAAGTGATCAGGAAAGATAAGTGTTTTTAACAGAGTCAGGACACCAGGCAGCCTTTGCCAGAGCAACTAAAGCCATAGATGTGAACTTCCAGCCACGTCTCAGAGAATGCAAAAATGATGGAATAAATGTGTTCATGAAGAACTCAGTCGAGGGTCTAAGCATGGGAAGTATTTGAGGAGAATTAATGGCCATATGTTTTTCACCGAATAAACATTGTAAAGTTTAAACACTGACTGTAGTTTTTATCTCACCTGTAGTAACGCATGCCTTGTACATTGTATCTCTATTTAGATATCAGTTTCCTTCTTGTCCAATGGGCAAATGAAACCATGGAATCTCTAATGTTGCTTTGGTTTTGTAAAAAGAGGCACACATGCTGTCCTGCAGAGTGTATTGTAGGGTGCATGTATATGGTATATATACAATATATTTGTGTATTGTGTATTGTATAAGTACACAAACTAATACTATGCTCAAATGACTCACGGAGCACAGCATTTTTTCCTTGGGAATGAATCCATAAGTCGCAGGTTAGTAATCATTTCCAGACAGCGTTAATTGGCCTGACGCTTTTACCAAGCTTAATGGGCTCTGCAGAGAAAGTGCCCGATTCCAATACCACTTAGCTCAGCCACAAATTTAACTCTCCCTCACATCTTGCTGCAGAATTTATTTTGTCTGTTCTGTTTTATTACAATGCCTTCTTCCTTGCTCTATTTTTCTTAATCAGGAATTTGGATGGTGGAAATCTGTGTGTTATTTTTTTCCATAGCAGGCCAGTCTGAAACAATCTCTCCCAAAGGAGGAAAATCCAGTAGAGAAAAGTGAATAAAATAAGGAGGTGAAGTTCTTGATCAGAAATGAAAAATAATATAATTCAATTCTCTGAAATACTATTAAGGCAGCCTACACCAAACCAGCAATATAAATGTATCTTAGGCAACGCTTACCTGGCTTATGAAGTCATTTGAAAACATGTGTGGAATTTAAAAGATCCACACCCTTGGGTGAGGAGGGACTAAGGATTAATTTACTGATGACCAGAAGCATATTCATGTTTACAATCATGAGTTGCAGTGTCTAACTATATAAATTTATGTCCAGAAGCTCTATGGCAGAGCAATTTTAACGAGTAATCAGAACATAATATGAAGTGTATTCAAGGATCAGTTTACCTTGTTAAACTCTGATAGTCAAACAAAGAATATAAGCCTTCTCGGATTAATTCTGAAAGGTGTTTAACGACTTTTTGTGGTATTAAACACATCAGCCTCTATATAAAAAATAAAATAACTGAGCAGACAGTCGTCACCTGGTCACAAGGATTTGCCCAGTTTGTTTAAATTTTACTTTTGCTTACTCTTTCTACTTCAGATTTTTCTGAAGAAAAGTAGCCAGACATCCTAACATTCCATCTTTAAATAATATGTTCTTCATTATAACATACTAAGATTTCTCAAAATCTTCCTCGTGGCTGGCTCTTTATTCTTTGTTTTTGTGGTCAGTCATTTCATTTAAGAAAGTTTCTCCAACCCCCAATAAAAAAGAGGTCTCTTATATTCTTTCTAAAGTTTAATTATTGTATTTGTTCTGCTTGTTCAGTCTATAATCCACCTGGGCCTGACTGACACGGAGAATTGCTCCTCTTTTGCCCCTAAGAACATCAAATGTCCAGTACAAATTATTGAATCTTTATTTCGTTGTGGCTCTGCAGGGACACTTCTGACAGACCTCATAGCTGCCCGTGAACATTTACCCCATTTGAAAACACAGTAAGCTGTTCAGCAAGTCTGAAGAGGTATGAATGACCGAAGTCTGCAGGGTTGTCTCTAGTCACCAAAATTAAGTCAATCAGATAATTAAGAAACGGCCTATCCTTATGAAGCTAAGAAAATAGGGAATATTTTGAAATCAATAAATGAATAAATGAAAATACTGCATGAAAAACTGTAAGACCCAGAGAAAACGAGATCATTGGATATATTCTTCTTCAGTAGAAATTTTAGGTTGGCATTTACTGTCTTACAACAACATTTCCATGTTTCTGGCTCATCATTTGCATTATAAAGTCTGCTGCTGTGTATACTGGCAACTTTTTGCACAGACTTTAATATTTCTAGTTATACCGGATGATAAGCAGCTTCTCTCTGCGTGTTTAAATTTAGACTACTTTCCATTTTTCCCTTCCCTTGCGGGACCCCCGCAGTCCGCAGCCTGTCTCTTGTTGATTTCGACAAGAGGACAGCACTTCTATCCTTTTTCTCTCAAATTAAAACAAGCTAACCCTTCTCTCTTTCCTCTTTGTGTTTTCCCCTGCCTTGCTGTTCTGCAGACCTTTCACCCCTCCAGGCCTCATTCTGAATAGAATCTTCTGACCTATCTTCAGGTCTTAAATATGATCAGCCATGAAGTCTATGCATCAAGTTGTGACTTGGGTTATTGGGTCTTTAAACTGCATGTGCTTGACGTGCTTTCCAGTATCACAGGCTACCTTTGTGGCCTGACACAATTGCAAACTCGGTTTAATTTCCGGAACTTAATAAGCATAAGCGTATTACAGTTCATGTTTGATACTGCGCTAGCTATAGTTGCTGCTGCTTTGTATCTGCTCTTTATGATTCTTTTGGTTCTTCATTACAACGTACCATTTTATTATGTACCTGGTTGTACCTAACAATAGGTTACATCTGCTGGGCTCAGCAATTGTTAGAAATCAGTAGTGAAGGTCTGGACTATTACCGATTTATGGAGAAAGAATTTTATTTTGTGTCCGCCAGGCACAACCCAGTCGTGTGCTATCTCAATCTATTTTCTTTGCATCAATAATATTCGTGTTCACATCCTAAGGATTTTATACAGTTAACACACAATTTCTTGACTGTGCAGTCAGGCAGTGGGAGGAGTTTTCTGGACTATTTTAACTCAAGTGTTTGCCTTCAGGGTAGCGTAGTTACTCAGGGAAAGTCATGCTGCTGTTAGTGAGGAGATGAAAAGGGCACCCAAAGACTCCTTCAACCCCACAGCACACACACCGACTCTGCACCATCACAGCCTTCTCTCTGCATAGTGAGAAAGTCTACCAAGCACTGCGAGCTGGGCTTCTCTGCCGTAGGAAGGCTTAACTTGTCTGCCTGGCATCTAAACGTCCCGGGTGTACATTCGGGACACCCCTTCTGCAACATTCTGCATGCCTAGCACGAGCTTTCTTTCTCTCTCCCACTGAGCTACATCCCAAGCCCTCTTTTTTCCTGGAACGAACCAACTCCTGGTTCCACTGCCTTCTCAGCATCCCCTAAGGCGGTTTCAACCTTCCCAGAATAACTCTAAAGGGTTTCTCCTCTCTACAAAAACAAAAGCAAATCTCTGTTCTTTCAAAACTCATTTCTTTCCTCCTCGGCTTTTGGAGAAGTTATGGTCTCTCAAGAAAAATGACTCTATTTTTCCAAAGTTAAGTAACAATTGTGCTATCATTTGATACTGGTTGGCATTTATTGCAATTATTCTGAGTGTGTCAAGGAATGAATGTTTGGGTTCCTTTAACTTCTCACGTGCAAATCTGAACCCCCAGTGCGATATTATTCAGAGCCTGAGACTTGGAGAGAAGACTGTGCCATGAGCTCAGAGCCCTCGTACATGGGATTGGCATCCTCATGAAAGAGACCCAAGAGTGCTCTCTAGCCCGCTCTCTGTCATGTGAAGACGGGTTGGGACGGCAGTTAGATGCAAACCTGGAAACATTCCTCACCAGGCACGGAATCACTTAGTGCATTAATGCTGTACCCACAGCTCCCAGACTGGGCACAGTACATGGAGATTTGTCAGTCAAGCAGACGATGGTATTTTTCCTGCAGCAGCTTGAACTGACCAAGACAAAGTCTACATTTTGTCTTCCAGTGAGACGCTATGCTTTTGAGGAAGGCATGGTGCAATGCACTTTTATAATCCTAATATGGCATTATGCCCATAATAAATTCTTTGTATTATTTTAAATAAAGTTTACAATAAGAATCAACAGAAGTAGGGAGAATTTGGTTGACAAAATGGCCTCTAAAACTAACATTGATATATTTACCTTCACTCAGAATTAATGACTAATAACCACAGTAATTTATTCTTATTTTGATGATGAAAATTCATTTGTGTTAAAGTAAGTCTTTCACAGATACATTTCACGTGAAAACACAGGGATAACTTCTGTGAGCGTTTCCAAATGCTTTACATGTTTATGGCTAATTCACACTACTTAGAATTATAGTAAGTCACTAAGTACTTACTGATGTTGAAGCTATTTTTGTGGAAGAAGTTGGCTGTGTCACGGTCCAGGGAAGCACGTGAATGATGACCGTAGATGTGGCTGTGAGCTGACCAGCTTTACTCCCACCTAATTCATCAGTGACTTCAATAAGTAACTGGAAAGTCACTGCGTCTTGAATTCCTTGAAATACATCGTACTGGAAATTCTGCCCGGTGGCCAGAGAAGGGGGATCAACACCCCGTCTCTGAAGTGTGAACTGATTATTTGTATTTCCTGAGAATGATGAGGTAATAAAACAGAAATAAAACTGCATTATATATTGCTTTATTAACTTAAGTTTTTTTATGAAAAAGTATATTTCATGATATGTTGCCAACTCTTACAAAAATTTCATGTGTGTCTTTTAAAGTAGCCTAGAAATGATGTATTTGAAATCATATGTCTTACCTCCTACAATTAAATAGCTGAGATGCTCAGGAGGAGAATCTCCATCTGAACAGTTGAGTTGAACAAAAGCGCCTCTAACAATGGAATAAATCCAAGTTTCCAAATGTGGAGGATGACATAGAGGAGGTTCATCATTCACGTTCTGCAACATTAAGGTATTACCTTTTTAAATTGAGTCTCAAACATCTTGCCATACTAGATCATTTACTTTTTAAGGTTTTATGATGCATTACTTTCCTCTCTACCGTGTTGCTCTAGGATACTTTATGCTTAAGTATACAAGTCATCTTAATTATTTTACATTTGAAGAATATTTGTTAATGGGGTTCATCACAAAGTTTTTCTTGTTTAGAGTTACCCTAAATTCTGTATTTTTTCCAATTTTGTGAATTAAGAATTACCTTTTATTGAACAGATGCATATTTCTTATGTAATACTGCTATAATGGTTGATTTATTGTGTCAGTTTGAGAAGTCCAGAAGCTTAACTAGGTGACTCAGCAATTCTACATCCTAGGGTGTAAGGGACCTGCCCTAAGGCAGTTTACTTCACCGTACCACAAAAGGACGCAGCCTAGGGCAGGTAACCTGCAAGCAATATAAGGGAGAAAAAGAGGCTTCCTCCTCCCTTTTGGTCTGGTTACTTCTGTATTTCCCCAGCTATGAACAGGTTCCCCTGGGCCATCCTTCCTCCTTGAAGCCAGCTGATTATGGACTGACACTTCTACAAGTTGTGAGCTAAACAAACCTTTCTTCCTTTTACTTTGGATGTTGGATATTTTGTCCCAGCAACAAGAGAAAAGTAACTAAGACAACTGCTTAACTATGTCTACATGCAACTAGGAGATTATTGAATTTAAAGTTAGGTTAAAAACTCATTGTCATCTACTTCAACAATTTCCTTTTATTACAGAAAAAATACCAGTAAGTAAATAAGTCTAGAGGAAACATATTTCACTAGTGGACAGTTTGGCTTGTGAGGAGAGGAACACTTGCTTTTATTAATCTCACATTTGTTTGCCTGTGAATTCAGCCTATTTCTGATCTGGAAAAATTCAGGGTTTACTAGAGTATGTAACTTATATTTCAAACAAGTAGATAGTTTTAGTAATTAGACAAAATGACAAATGGTCTCTATCAGCATTTGAATTCTAAGGTTGACCCTGTTGCAGGGTGCAAACTAATGCATTTCTTGCCATCATCTCTCGTCTCATCTGTAACAGACCCCGCCAATCTATTAAAGGAGCCGTTTCAATGTGTCTTTCACTGCCGAAGCGCAAGGATAAATTGTGTGAGAGTTTCCAAGAACTTTCTCTGTTTCTCACTAATTCAGGCCGCTTTGGAGTGGTAGCTTCTAAAGAGCACAGGCACAGACCTGGAGTTGATTCCACAGTATGTGGCCTTGAGGAAGACCCCACCAGGTTCTCAGAATGGAACGTTAAGTGACACCAAAGAGTCCAGTTCAACCCAGGCTTTCTTCCTGCCCTGGAAGTACTTCCTGCACATCCCAGAGCGCCTCCCCTTTGAGGCCTCTTTCTTTGCAGATGGAGCACAGCAAACCCCACATCCTTCACTCCCCAAGGCACAGGTAGCTAGGTTTGCTTTTTGGCTCCCTGGAGGCCATGCAAAGCCACTTGCTGGTACTGATACTCCATTTCAGTAAGCAACAGTCCCTTTAAATTAAAGCCCTGGAAAGGAATTCTCATTTGTCTTCTCTCAAAATACAGCTAAAAGGTGGAAAGTGGAAAGAAAGTGTCTGTCTTGTTTTCAGTTTCTTTAGGAATAATAAATAAAGATAACCTGCACTATCATTTGTTGAATGGCTAATATGTGCTGGAATCTAATTTGCATACACTGATGGGTACACCACACAATAACCCTACCAAAAAAGCTATTATTTTTTAATAGAAAGAGATGCATTAAGGAAAAATTTCAACCTTACACATTTATTGGGTGATAGAAGCAGAACTCAAAAACCTGTTGAATTGAGTTCAAAATTTTTACCCAGCTGCTCTTGTCTCCATATGAACTGCTTTCTACCTGGTCCCAATCCGCTTACACCATTTCCATACGAACCTGCTTCTGTTGTGTTTGCCCTCAATGCCTGGGAAGAAACCCTCAATGTTGTTACTACAAGAAAGCTCTACTTTGTCCTTAAATAGTGCCACATTTTATATGCATTCTTAAGCTCCTTTAGTTTAAGCAACTGTGGTTTGTATATTTTATAATTTCTACATATTTCTCCTTAAATGTTTAATTAAATTCTGAACACTTTTCCTCATAAATTGAATACTATTTTTTTAAATTGGCGAAACTTATTTTAGATATTTTATACTGAAATGTTGGTGGTAAAATATTTTAAAAATCAGTGCAGGAATCCAGTTTTCTCTATGGGAAGAAAAATCATTTCCCAGGACGCAATCTAAATTTTTCCTTTTTTTTTCAATAGTTATTTTTCCTATTTCAGTACATAGGGAAATTAAAAGGATGTTATTGGAGAACATGTCTTTATAAAGCCAAATAAAGAGAGAGAATTGGAGGCACAGAGCAAAACGCACACACACACACACACACACACACACGCACACATATGCCATTCCCTCTGGCTTAGATTCTGTGATTGCAGAGCAAATAAACTGGTTTAAATGATCAAAAGTGGATGTTGCAGGGCTCCCCATTTCTACAATTTCGTCAAATGCATCTCTAAGCAGAAAATTCATTTTGTCTGTTGGAATTACGTATTTATCCACCTATTCTTCTCTCCCAAAATTATTCGTTTGTGAGGTAAAACAGCTGTCCTAGAAAACTGCTACTAATCGCTTGAACATACAGGAGCCCCTCATAAACACTGCATGAGAATATGTATTAATTTTCCAGCATCTTATTCCAAAAAGGCATGAAGTGGCACTTATGACACATAATGATTTTATTCTGAATATCTTAGCACACTATTTTCACTGCAAGAGTCATATGAATTAATGACAAAACAAAACTGTTTAAACAAAAGTACTTTATGATAAATAAGACAAAATTAAATGTTATGGAGCCTGAATTGAGATGAACTTATGCATTTCGTAATGAAGTTGTTGCCTTTAAAATAAATCTATCCTTATAATGAGGAATTAATACTCCTAAAGAAAGTATACACATTATCAAAAAGAAGAGAAGATACAGTGAACAAATATTCCTTGGAGAGAAATTTTCTAAAGATTTTCAAGAAACATTTCTTATTTAGTGATGGCTTCCAAAACTATCTTGTGATTTAGCTTTCCAGAGCTGTAATTTTAATAGTCTTTTTGATATCACCATTATATTTCTGAACTCTGGGAACACGCTGGAAGGAGGAATCCTTCTCCAATATTGTTCTGACCAGCCCTTAAGCTAGTTCCTAAATTAAGCACAAGGAGACCTTGCCAACCCTGAGTCATCCGTCTTTCCTTTCTGAAGTGCTGTTTCTATGGCTTGGGATTTAATATAGTATTCCAATATTTCTCACCATAATTAATTTTGGCAGAAGATCATCTTTTCCTTGACTAACTCACTCAATCTCCAATTACAGTATAACATAGTATGTTTATGTCCCTAAATGTTCTCAATTAAAACATCAGAAGTCTAACCATTCATTTATGGAAATACATCAATACAAAGTCTACAAGCGAGAAAAACTAAGACTTTAATTGTATGCACACTTAAAAATTAGAATTATTACACATCTGTAATGCTTGTACTCTGGAGTTTTATTACATGCATTTCTTAACTAAATTTTAATAACTCAAAACAAACTTAACCAAAGCATCTAAGAGGTTCTTTCAAGCCTGTTCCTAATTAAAGATAAATTAATTGAGTTAGGATTATCTTTAAATAATCGAAAAAAGAATTTTCATTTTCTGTCTTGCTTTGCACTAAGGGAAGTGAATGTACTCATTATGTATCACAAACATCAGAGATAGAGACTGAGGCAGAGACATAAAAGAAAAATTGGAATTCAAATATGCAAGGAAATCCTAATGCTGGCCCATGAGTGGGGATGCTGGCCCTAACCTAAAGGGGCAGGAAGTTAACCACTCACCAGGCCAATTATTTAAACACAAGATGGCTAAAAAAATCTTTATTTTCTGTTAATTTTTAGATGATAACGTAGAAGGAAATATAAAAATGACAAACATCGGATTGATTCCATACAAAAACCGACTACTGCTGTGACACCTGCCCTAGCAACACTCTTGATGATCAGCAGGTAAACAGAGGCACGGCCAGTGAAGCCTGGTTTAACCTTGAAGTGGTTCAGGGAGCCGAACTTCACACCCAGAGGCTGCTGGCAGAGACTGCGGTCTCTTTCATGGCTACCGAGGTTTTTCTCAAATTAGAAGCAATAAGTAAATTCTTTTAAGAGAAAATGTCCTCCATTTCACTCCTGGATTCCTCCCGCCTGTGTGCCGATCCAACCAACAAGGGCTTAGCTCTGTATTTCCAGTATTTTAATCAGAAGTAGTTTAACAATAAAACATACTTTCAGAAATAAGAAACTGGAGTATAAGAACGAATCCAAACCCACGGGAAAGCAGCAGATTGTAACTTCCAGAAGTAAAAATTAATAAGTAGAGCTAAAAACACAAGGTTATATCATCAACAACCATGCAGTACAACAATGCAGTAATTACAGAACTGGAACACAGGTATGAACACATTGGGTAGACTGCAGTAGAGAGGAGGCAGAAAATGATGAAAGAGTGACTGAGAGAAATGGAGCATATAATAGGGAAACTGCATCACAGCATATCTAATTTGTATCCGAAATACAGAGCATCTGAGAACAGAGAGCGGGGGACATTTGACACCATGACCGCGCATGTTCCCTAAGCAATGGCTGCACAATGCAGGGAGGGGTTTACACTGCCGGCTGGGGAGGGGAGGGCCTGGAAGGGATCAAGATGTGAAGTGTGTATGTTCCAGCTCTCCTCAATGGATGCATTAACTTAGTGTCACTGATATATATTAATAGAAAAAGAAAAAAAATCTAATCCAGGCATGGCAGTGCATGCCTGCAGTCTTAGCATTCTGGGAGGCCAGGACAGGAGGGTCACAAGTTCGAGCCCAACCTGGACAGTTTAGGACTTATCAAGACCCTGTAACAAAGCAAAGT